ATATATATATATATATATACACACATATAGATGCTTTATTAAATATTGGGGTAATCGCCAAAAAAACCCTGTACTTTTTTCAGGTTAACAAAAAAACCTTGTGCTTTGGAAATTACCGAAAAAACCCTGTACTTTATATAATTAAATAAAAAAACCCTGTACGTTTTAATTAGTAACCCATAAACTCCCACGTCGTGATATCAGTGACGGTGGAATCGGAAAAGCTGACGTGGCTCAAACGGAACTGCAGAACAAAGTCCACGCAGGATTAAGTTTGCCACATTACCTAAAATCCAATGTAAAAATAAAGAAGGAAGAAGCCCGTGACGAGTGTACTCATTTCAAACGCTAACCCTAAGTTATTTGTTTTCTCTTTGAATCGAAGGAGATTTCAAACCCTAAACCTTCGATTCTCTCTAAGTTGAAAGTCATTTGGAGTTTGGGTCATTGATGTCTACCCTGGTCATCGATTTCGAGCGTGGGTCTGTAAGTTGAAGGTGATTTCGAACTTGTGATTGTCGATTACGAACGTGGGTCTTCGATTTGGAACTTGTGGCGTCGATCTGAAGGCGATTTGAAATCATAAAGGTCAGTTATGCGATCTGATGATATAGTAGGTGATGATCAAGGACAAGGTGATGAGGGTGAGTTTGGCAATGATGCGGGATTGGGGGATGGTGAAAGAATCGGTGATAGAGGTGAGTTTGGCAATGATGAAGGATTAGGAGATGGCGAAGGATTAGGGTTTAGGAGTGGGTTAGATAATGATGCAGAATATGTCAGCGATGCAGACTGTCGTGACAATGGAGATGAGTTTCCGACTACATCAAAAACGAGAGAGGAAGAGTGGCGAGAGTTTATGAACGTATTTGAAAGGTAGGGACCAGGGGAAGAAGGGCCAAGTAAGCGTGAACATAATCTTCATCTTGGTAAGATGTTTAATACAGGTGAAGATTTTAAAGAAGAATTGTTTCACTACGCATTGGATAATAACTTCAACGTGAAGTACTCGAAGTGTGAAAGCACAAGATATTCAGTGCATTGCGCAGAAACAGATTGTTCATGGAGAATCTATTGTTCTGTGCATACTGCTTCGAACAAGTGGATGATCAAGATATTCCATGATAACCACAACCACCCGAAGAGGAGTCATATTGAGTTGTTGACTTCAACACGTATAGCGCAACTTTTCGCAGAAGATCTCAGGAGAAAGCCATCTTTTTCAGCTAAAGAAATACAAGATCAGGTTATGGGGCGGCACCAGGTGATAGTCTCTCGTGTTCAGTGCTTCAAAGCTCGCAGAATTGCTTTAAGGACACTGGTTCAAGATCAGGGGGCTCAATTCGCTAAGTTATTGGATTATGAGGCAGAACTTCATAGATCTAATCCGAACACAACCATTGAAGTTGGTACAGAAGATGGATTGTTTGATCGATTTTATGTTTGTTTCGAGGTACTGCTTGAAACGTGGAAAAAATGTTGTCGTCCGATTATAGGATTGGATGGTTGTTTCTTGAAGTGGGCATTGAAAGGGGAACTTCTTGCTGCCATTGGTCGGGATGCTGATAATCGAATTTACCCCACGCATGGGTTGTTGTTCGAGTTGAGAATAAAGACACGTGGGGTTGGTTTATTAGAAAAATAAAAACAGATTTATGTTTAGGATAAGGAGAAGGCATCACATTATATTCTGACAAGCAAAAGGTACCTTGTTTTCCATTTCTAATTATTGTGAATATGTAATTGTGCAAGGCACTTATACGTTGATGGTTAATTATGGTTTTTTAGGGTTTGATTAATGTCATTGACGTAGAATTACCACGTTGTGAACATCGAATGTGTGCGAGACATATATACGCTAATGGGAAGAAACAATTCAAGGAACTCACAGAGAAAAAGTTTTTCTGGAAGGCTGCGTATTGTTTTCATCAAGGTAATTTGACATAACATTGGTTTAAGTGTCATTTAAACCATTTTTGCAAAGCTAACAGTGGTTTTCATGAAGGTGAATTTGGTGAACACATGGACGGGTTGAAACGTTTTAATTCAGCAGCATACGAGGCATTGATTGCTACTAATCTGAAGCATTGGTCTCGAGAATTCTTCCAGGAAGCGGCAAAATGTGGAGATATTAACAACAACTTAAACGAGAGTTTCAACAGTCCAATCAAAGATGCTCGACTTCGTCCAGTAGTAGACATGCTTGAGGATATTCGGAGAAAAACCATGGGACGGATTGCAAAAAGGTTGAGAGATGCTAATAAATGTGTAACACAGTTTACTCCTCATGCCATGGAGGAATTAGAGAAATCTCGGAAGAAAAGTGGGTATTGCATGGTTATTCCCAGCGGACATGGGAAATACGAGGTTATGAATCTCGGTACAAGTTATTCCATCGACCTTAGCATGAAAAGTTGTGCATGTCGAGAATGGGATGTAACCGGGATCCCATGTTGTCATGCTTTATCTGTCATCAATAAAAAACGAGAGAGTTTATCGGCGTAAGTCCATATTTTACAGGTATGTGTTATCAATACAAATTATGGTTTAGTTGTTTACTAATGACAAAAGTTTTCTGCAGGTATGTGTCCGATTACTTTTCAAAGGAAACATGGATAGCGATATACGAGCATAATATTCTACCCGTGAATGGAGAAAAATTATGGAGAAAGACAGAAAAAACTCCAGTTGGTGTACCCAATACGAGAACAATGCCGGGTCGCCCTAGAAAGTTCAATCGGACAAAGGATCCACATGAGTCTCCCCCGAAGAATGGTCGTATCTCACGTCACTGAAGAAAAATGACATGTACTTGCTGTCAACAGGTTGGACACAATGTAAGGACATGTAAGAATGAACCATTTCAAGTGCAGGGTCCAACGCGAGGGAGAGGTCGTCCGAGAAAATCACATGTACGAAATCTGTACTTTTTTCTGGTTTTATTGATCGGTTGTGATGAATATCTTGTGATTAGTTGGTAGGTGAAACAAGTCAGCTGCCACCATCAAAAAAGAAGAAATCTACACGTGTAATGTCGGAAAATGCTCAAAGTAGTGCTAACTCAGTAGGTGATGGTATAAAACTTCACAACCTGATGCACTATAGTTCCTAATATTTCTTAACATCGTAATCCACTGTTTTCCCGAGTTGATCGAGCATTCGAAATTGAAGACTCTCCTTCGTAACTCATCTTTTTATTTTGAATCTGTTATATAAACATGTTCGACATTCTTCAAACATAATCCGAAAACATAAGCCTCAAATTGATGAAACCTAACACATTTCTAAAACGACATTCAAATTTGTTGAACCCAAACACAATACACCAAAATTTGCCAAATATAACAAATTAACCATAAAATCTCATAACTTTTCAGTCCTAAAACAATATTACATATATGAAATTTCTTAAATTCGACATATTTCAAGTCCAACACAAAACCCTAAAACCCCAAATTTCGGTTCTTACCTCTTGTCTTCACTTTGGAGAACGTACAACTGATAGAATCATAGATGAGTCGAACGAGATAGAATCGATGCGAGTTGTAGTCGAAATCTGCTCAAAACAACGACCATGGAAGATTGAAGAAATCCCTAGAGCTCTGTGACAACCCAGAGTACCGTAGGAGGGCGGGGAGTGATCGCCGGTGCAGAGGCACGGACAAGGGGCGGCTCTTGACGAGCTTCTGGATAGGGGGTACAGGGATGAATCGAACACACCGGAATGAGAGAGATTCGAGGGTTGTATAGGTATGAGACTATACGGTCTAAGATAACATAAAAGAATTAGTTGAACTACTCATAGCAACAAGGTGCACTACCTTTTTGGTTGACTATCTCGAGAGAACTCCAAAGTTAAGCGTGCTGACTCTGGAACAATCTTAGGATGGGTGACCTACTGGAAAGTGTCTCGGTATGCGTACGAGTGAGGACAAAACATGTTGGAAGATCTCGGGTTGCTGTGTGAGAGCAGTTTCGACAATTCGTAGCGGTCACGGGTCGTTACAAGCTCCTCTCTCTCTCTCTCTCTCTATCGTGTCTGTGGAAAGAAGATGAACTAGTTCAGACCAAACAAAGGTATTTAATAAATGAGTTATAATGATGTGGCAAACTTAACCCTACGTGGACTTCGTTCTGTAGTTTCGTTTGAGCCACGTCGGCTTTTCCATTTCCACCGTCACCGATATCACGACGCGAGGGTTTATGGGTTACTAATTAAAAAGTATAGGGTTTTTTCGGTAATTTTCAAAGTACAGAGTTTTTTGGTTAACCTGGAAAAAGTACAAGGTTTTTTTGGCGATCACCCCTAAAATTTTGAAAAACAATCTTTCACTTTAAATTTGTTATAAAAAATCATCAATCATTAATTTTTATAAAAAAATAATCATCTATCTACAAAATATTTTATTTTAAAAATTATTTATAAAAATTTATAAAATTTTTTTAAAAAAATATAAATTATATAATTCTAAAAATCACAATAAAAACATAATATTTATTTAAATTTATTATATCATAATATTTAGATTTCATATAAATATGTATAAATATCAATCTTTATATAATAAATTTGTATACAAATGTTATGTTTAAAATTCAGTATATTTTATTGGTTGTAAATATTAAATTTAAAATTTTATTATATGTTACTATTTGATAGGTTGTAAATTGAGTATATTTTATTGGTTATAGGTTTCTATATTTAAAATAGAATGTGTTTTGAAAATTTCAAATAGTTGATGATTTTTTTATTAAAAATATTTTATAAATCTATAAAAAAAATTAAAATGATAATTTATAATCTCTGTAATAATATATAATAGAATTTTAAATATAATATTTACAACTAATAAAAAATACTTAATTATAATCTATTAATATTAATATACACTTTTTATATTTTAATAAATAAATTTTTTTATTAAAATTAATAATTGATGATTTTTTTATAACAAATTTAAAGTGAAAATTTGTTTTTAAAAAATTTATATAATTGGTCTTTTTTTCTCAAAATTAATAGTTGATGATTTTTTATGATGAATTTTAAGTAGAGAGATTTTTTGGTGTAAGTAAAAAACTTGAAGTATTTTTTTTGGTTTGTCCCTATTTAAAATATAAACTATTAAGAAAATTAAGATCAAGATGACACACACACAACTAAATTATCAACAACGAGTGTCTTATAGAAGGATTGTTTTTTAAATCGATTATTGACGATTATCTTCAACTAAAAAAATTAAATTTATTATAAAAATTTCAACCCCATTTATTCAATAGTCCAGTTTGAGTTGGATAAGATGAAATCTTAATGATATATAACATAGTAAAATAATATATATTGTAACGTACGTAGAAAAATTTATAAGCGGGAGTAAACTTAATAGTAAAATTTTACTATGGTAAACTTGTTTTGATTTTATTTAAAATTTTACAAACTTCATAAAGAATTATTTTTTTTAATTAACAATATATATATATATATATATATATATGTGTAGATTCTCATTGTTGTAAGTAGATTTATAAAACTACTATATTATAATCTATAAAATATATATGTTAAATAAATTGAATATTGGTAGCAAATATCTTATATACATATCTACTAGTATGAACATAGACTTGGTTGCTCATACAAATATCTTTTTATATTCTTGTGCAGAAGGAAACAAATTTGAGAAAGTCATAAAAATGAGAATATTAAAAAAATAAAAACTATTTGATAAAAATAATATAACCATAATATTTAATTTAATATATACACAAACTTTTAAAATCACACAAATTTTTAAAATTTGATTTGATTCTAAAAGTTTCCGTTTTTTTTTTGTTCATGCTTGGTGCATTATTTTGGTAGTTGATATATGCTTATGGTATTTTCTAAAAAATAATGTTGTTTCCTTATTTCTCTCCCGTAAATAAAAACCCTTCAGAGGCACATAATTTACGATCTTATCCTTCCTCTGAAAAAGGCTCTCGCAGATACTTCCAGAGAAGCTTCTACGAAACGAGCAGAGAATCGGAGGAAAACCTGAGGAGAGAGAAAAACCCTAGGCGGAGGGTGAAGCCGGAAAAATCTTATGGCAGCGGCGAACGTAGCGCATCCTGGCCGTGGAGGCGGCGGCCGGAGGGGCGGAGGAGCACTGGATGACGACAAGCTCGTCTTTGAGACGACGGAGGGGGTCGAGCCCATCACGAGCTTCGATCACATGGGGATCAAGGAGGATGTGCTTCGCGGCGTCTACGATTACGGGTTCGAGAAGCCCTCCGCGATTCAGCAGAGGGCTGTGATGCCGATTCTACAAGGTCGCGACGTTATCGCTCAGGCTCAATCTGGTACAGGGAAGACCTCCATGATTGCGCTCTCGGTTTGCCAAATCGTCGACACCTCGTCCAGGGAGTATGTTCTCTGTTCTCTATGCATTTTTTCCATGGAAACCCTAATTCGGATGCCAACGACCTCTTTTGTTCGTATTGTTTATTCTGTCTTGATTCGCATTTTGCGTTTTTTTAATTGTGGTTGCCGGATTTTATTGGATTGGCTTGGTGGGTTTATGGGAAAGCTCTTAAATTTCTGACTGGTGGCTTCTATATCATGTTGAATAGATATAATTTCGTGAGCTCACCCAAGATTGGGTGGCTCAATGGTGAGGAAGAGAGCTCTCCCGGCCTTCTGGGAGATATGTAGTTCTGGGAGATATGTAGTTGGACCAAATGCCCAATAATCTTCCGGATTATCAAAAAAAATTCGTGAGCTCATGGTCTATCATTGTCGATTATTATGGATTTGTATCTGGTTTTGAAGGTTGTCTCGAGAGTTTATTTGCTAGAATTCCTTTTCGAAAAGCTATGATATATTTTTTCTGGATTTGTGGTTAGAATACTTGGGGAGTATTTTCTTTAGGCTGCATGACTTACGTTCTGTTCTACTCATCAGTTTGTGATTTTCGTTTAGGGTTCAGGCCTTGATATTGTCCCCAACAAGAGAGCTGGCTTCACAAACAGAGAGGACGATACAGGCTATTGGGTTACATGCAAATATTCAGGCACATGCCTGCATTGGTGGCAAGAGCGAGTCCACGTTGTGTCTGGAACTCCTGGTAGAGTCTGTGACATGATAAAGAGGAGGAGTCTACGTACCAGAGCCATTAGACTATTGATTCTTGATGAATCAGATGAAATGCTGAGCAGAGGATTCAAAGATCAAATTTACGATGTTTATAGATATCTTCCACCGGATCTTCAGGTTAAGTATTATTGTCCAATCTTGTTCATTGGTTAATAGCAATTTCTTTGCTGTTGTTGCATGTTATTTCTTGGGTTATATCATTGGTTGTATGTGCCTGGGCCATGTTGCAAAATCTGGTTGTTGACTTGTTGAGTTGTAAAGGGGCGATATAATCATATATCCCCATTTTAGTAGTTCAAGTTGTTCAACATACCTATGCTGCTGTCAGTTTGTTGAACTAAATTTCCTTCATATGATGTTTCTAATCTGATTTATTTAATTATAGGTTGTCTTGGTTTCTGCTACTCTTCCTCATGAGATTTTGGAGATGACAAACAAGTTTATGACGGATCCTGTGAGGATACTTGTGAAGCGTGATGAGTTGACTCTTGAAGTAAGTTCTCTTCTGTCTGCTTATAGAAGTTTTTCCGTCAAGGCATCGTTAGTAGCATATATCTCATCGCTTAACTTCTGTGAAAATCCATTCCAGGGAATCAAACAATTTTTTGTGGCTGTTGAGAAAGAGGAATGGAAATTTGATACCCTGTGTGATCTTTATGATACACTTACTATCACTCAAGCTGTTATTTTCTGCAACACGAAACGAAAGGTAAGAGGGTGATTCTTAAGTTTCTAATGCAATGCCTGTGTCGTTGCTCGGTTTGGCATATTTTTTTGTTCTCCAGAGATAATGGTCTTGTCATGAAGACTTTCTTCCTGTTAGAAATATTGTTTATCTCTAAAAAGTATACGAAAGGTATATACCGAAGGTGCAATATAGTTATATGGAAGTAAAAGGGTTTTGTAAAAAAATTCAACTGCTCAGGAATGCACTTGATCTGAATTTAAAATGTCTCTAATACGCCATATGTTATCTCTGTGTCTATTGTGATGCAATGTGTCATGCTGATGATTCATACATCTTTTCCTTTTTCCAATCTTTCCTAGGCATTGGAACTGAGTTATTATGTTTTTTTAACACACGACAAAAGAAGCATAATTTGTCTCAACTTGTGTGGGTTCACTGTATTTTGTGTGCGCTATGTAGGTGGATTGGCTTAGTGAGAAGATGAGGAGTAACAATTTCACTGTCTCATCGATGCACGGGGACATGCCTCAGAAGGAGAGAGATGAAATCATGAATCAGTTTCGGTCTGGTGAAAGCCGTGTTCTGATCACGACAGATGTGTGGGCACGAGGAATTGATGTTCAACAAGTAAGTTTGGTTTTTTCTATACCTACTGTTACATGTTGTGTGGATGTTGAACGTTCTGAATGGATCAAATTCACGTCTTCTACCATATGTCTTAGTCTTAAAGTTTGGTCTTGGAAATGCTTACCATATTTGTTCCTGATTGTCCACCTGTACCTTCCATCGAGGTGCTAATGGTTGTTAAAACTCACATTGGAGATTGTCAATAGTTTGTTGTTCGAAAGGATGGTGTGCCTCCTTCAATACTGTTCATGGTCTTGGTTGAAAATATATCTGGATGTATAATCGCTTATCATCTCTTCATTAGTAAATGGCATGTAACATCTGGTCATCCTCATCCACCTCATTTCTACTCAATTAAAAATAGTCTGCGAGTCAAAATATTTGCAACATGTGGATACGTGCCTTTAGATTTCTGTAGTTTTGGCCCATCCTTTCTCAAGAAAGTAATGATGACATGAAAATGTTTCTGTAATAGGTTTCTCTTGTCATCAATTATGATCTACCCAATAATCGTGAGCTTTACATCCATCGGATTGGACGTTCTGGTCGTTTTGGTCGCAAGGTAAGTGATGCAATCCTACATCTGGTTATATATATTTTGCACTATTTGTGGGCGGACTACTCGATTACATATTGCGCTCTTTCCTGAGTGGTTTCTCGCATTATTACTAGAAAGTGTCGAAAGCCAAATCGACACTGAGAATACATGGATATGCAAGATGGGTGATCAAATTGACATTTAAATTTTCTGAAGTGATCTGATCTTATGCTATTTCTTTGTTCATCACTTGTGCGTTCATACTGCTGTAATAGTAGTATCATAAGTGATCTTATGTTATTATAATATGCATTTTGTGCCTCATATCTTTCAACTTGTTTTGAAACTTCACTTGATATGATACATATTTTTAATGGAGTAGAAATGAGGGCATAAACCAGTGAAGGGGTCATTTGCTCTGTAGGCTTGAGCTAGGTTGAAGACGTTATATAAGTGATATTGTTTGTTGGTGATGATGACAGGGAGTTGCGATTAACTTTGTAAAGAGCGACGACATCAAGATCCTGAGGGACATCGAGCAGTATTACAGTACACAGATAGACGAGATGCCGATGAATGTGGCAGATCTTATCTAAAAGGTTTTGGTTTGTTATCTGGCTTCCATGGATTTGGAACATCTTTAGACGTCGTGATGGGTGTGTGTTGCATGAGCTGGTGGCAATTCAAGGGAATGTTTTGAAAGAGACATGCAAAAAGGCTTGATGATTGTTATAATGGTGTTAACACACTACTTTGGGGGTATTTTCATGGATTTCATATCCATTTGTGAAATGTTGTTTCTTTTAGGAGTTTTTTTTTTATAATTAAATTAAGAGGAATTGGGTGTAATTTTGGAATATTTTCTAACAACTTTCGATGTTTGCTTAATGTTCTTTGTAGTTCATAACTTCATGTGGGTCGTGTCGGAGTGTTTGCTTGCGGTCGCTCCCATGAGTCTACTAATATATATTTTAAAACCGGTTTTCAGATGGAACGAAACTTAATTCTGTTCAGTTTTGTTTCAGTATTAAAAATCGAACCAATTTTTAATATTGAAACAAAATTAGATAGAATTAAGTTCCGTTTCAGCTGAAAACCGAAATAAGTGGAAAAGAGTCCAAATAAATTTGAAATTAAAATAATATACCTGCGACTGGTGGGTTTTTGGAAGAATCCAAACGGGCTGGTCCCCCGTAAGAAGCTTAGCCTGTGAGAATCCAATGGGTAGGGAAGGTTCTAGAAAATTTTAAATAAAAATTTGCAAAAATATTGAGTATTTAGGATTGAAATAAAAAATTAAATCATTTATGTTAGATTGATATTAAGAATAATACTAGAATAAAATCTAGGTTTATTCATCGTTAATACAATATACACTTCCCTTTGTATGAATATGAGTTTGAGTTAGTTCATTTGATATATAGAACCCAGACAAAAAAAAAGAATATTCACATAATTTTTTCTCTAACTTTTATACCTCTAAATTCGTTTGCTATTCAAAAAAATTTCTTTTGAATACACGATCGTTATTTTTGAAGTTTTTCGTGATCTAATAATCTCAAAATTTTAGAGAGACACGAAAATCGAATTTAAGAAAAACTGTTGATTAGAGGGAAAAAAACAAATTTTTTATTATAGATATTTGTTCGAGATCATTGGATTTACAAAAGATACACCAAACAACAACCGTTTGCTCCCTAATATATAGATAACAAATTTAAAGGAATTTGGATATATGAAAAATAGACCGAACCATCAAGTGTGCATCTAACGTTTGCTTTGTTTTTATAATTTCATTAAATGTAGGTTATAAAAGTTTGGGAAGATTAAGAAAACTTGAGACTCTCGATGTAATTATTTCAATAACAGCATCCCACCTTTTTTGGATGTTGCCGTATCGCTCAAGACTTTGATTTTTTCTAGAAATTCCCTGTGGCTTTCCTATGAAAGGTACAATTTTTCACCCATTTCTACACTATTGTAGTTTAGGGTTTAAATGTTAATAACTTTTTATTTTGAGTTTTTTATTTTAATTTTAAGTTTTTGGTTTTTTGTAAATCCAAAAAAAAATTTAGTTTTAGTTGATTTTTTGATAAAAGTGATTTTTCAAATTTTTATTAAACTATTCTTATGTCAATTTTTTTTGCTTTTAGGATTTTAAAAACCTAAAAATATCTTCCATTCAAGTTCTTAATTCTTCGTTACATTGTCTTTTAACACTTGACGCATTTTTCTCGATATATTACTAAAAATATATTACAAAATTTATCTTGTTTTATCCAAATTTGGGTGGTTTAGTAGTAAAAAAATATGTAAAATATGTGTTTATCATAGATTCAAATCCAAGCGTGAAGAGAGACATTTCCTTTATGAGATGTAGTAGGGTGTACTTTTGGATTATCCAAAAAAATATACAAAAGACAAAAGATTGTATTTTTTTCTATCATTCCTTCTTTTTTTCTCAGAGTGTTTTGGCAAAGTGAGTGTTTATCTTCTTTCTTCGTAGGGAAGGTTTCATAGTTCCTAAAGAACTTCCTCTCTACCGTGTTGTTGCAGGTTTAAGAGGTCTAAGAAATTTGGAAGTGCTAGATCTGAGTTGGAATTATTTCGAAAACTATCTACCTGCACGAGGTATTTAACTATCTAACTGCGATCTACAAAGACGGGTTTCAAGTTTTTGCTCTCTCTCTCTCTCGATATATATATATATATCGATGTCAATGAAACAGTTAGTTTAAGCACTTGTAACAATGTATTTCTTGTCTTGTGCTAGAGCTCACTGATCTACATAAGCTCAAGGCAATGGATCTAAATGATAACCGATTTTTCGGCCTGTTGGGAACAGAAGGCAAGCGATGCTTTCGACACTCTCTTAGGCACTTATCAATTTTGAATTGTGAGAGAATCGATGTTTATGTAGAGCTTTGTTTCTGGAAACTGAAATTATTTCGTTACATAGTACACACTTCAAAAAACGGCAACAACGCTTACATACATATATCACGACACACATACAGTTTTCGAAACGAGAAAACTACCTATTGCAGTTAACAACTGCAATTACAACATGGTAACCGAGACGAACTTAAATTAAATATAAACCAAATAGCAAATTATGGTATAGTTTATATTTCAGTTTATGTAAACGCAAATTGATTTTGGTTCCATTTGTTTCTGTTTTTTTCTTTTTATAAATATGTTTTCACTATGACCTTATTTCTAATGCTTATCATTTATATATCTTAGAATAAGATTCAAACATATCGCTTAGATATCATTTGTAAGATGAACATTAATGAACAACTAAGAAGAATTATATCATTTTTATTTTGGTATTCTTTCATTTGATTATGCAGGAATATGCAAAATGAAGAATCTACAAGAGCTCGACCTTCGTAAGAACGAACTTACAGGAGAGCTTCCTCCTTGTCTTGTAGGCTTATCCAAACTCCGGGTTCTTGATGTCTCATCAAACCAGTTAAGAGGGAAGCTACCATCATTCTTCTTCAAACGCTTTGAATCCTTGGAATACTTATCATTATATGACAATGACTTTGAAGGGTCATTTTCTCTGAGCTCAATTGGCAACCTTTCTAACCTCAAGGTATTGAAACTTTCATCGAGGTCTAATAAGCTACAAGTGCATACAGAGACAGATACTCTTTGGCAGCCAAGATTTCAGTTAACTGTTATTCGATTACCATACTGCAACATAGAAAAGGTTTCTAGTTTCTTCCAATACCAGAAGGACTTGTGTCTAATCGATCTCTCCAACAATAAGATATTTGGACCATTCCCCACCTGGCTTTTGGAGAACAACACAAAACTTGAAATTTTGTTTCTACATAACAATTCTTTCAATGCCTTTCGACTGCCTCGGGTAGTGCACAACTTGCGCATTCTGGATATCTCAGTTAATGATTTCGATGATAGGCTTCCGAAAACATTTGGGATGAACTGTCAAGTTTAAGACATCTGGATCTCTCTGATAATGAGTTTCATGGGATTTTGCCTTCCTCTTTCGGTGAGATGAAAAACATCCGCTTTATGGATATTGCTCGCAATAATTTCTCGGGAAATATTCCTACAAGCTTTCTTATGAATTGTCAATCATTGAATTGGTTAGAGCTCTCACACAACAGATTAATGATCATGGCAATCTAGGTAAATGGATGGTAAAGTAATAAAAACCTAGACTAAGCCGATTACACAAGGGTACGGATTCGATGTAGTACCAGGGTCAAACACAGGGACCGAAAGGTGATGGTGTCAACAGTGATTCTAGCGAAAGTCGGGAGCAAAATAGTTGATTGGTTGGGAAAACTATAACTAAAGGCACTATAGGTTCGGGGTTCACCGATACTACGGAACATCTAAATAGATATGGTTAGTTTGCAGTCTAAGGTCGATTCAGGAAACTCTAGCCTTTATTCTAGAACGCGTCTAGGTCAGGGATCATCGCTCTCTAACTAACGCTTTCCTATCAACTTCCGCATCTTTAGGTCTACGTTAGAAGCAGTAACGCCCGTTATCATTGTTCCTAGGTTGAATTAAGAATTCTTTATCAAGTCTCACTTATGCGTTCAGAATTAATAATTGAACCTATCTTATGAACGAATTCTGGTATTAACTAATCCAAATTCATTTGCAATCAATTAAACCAAGTTCAATTCTATAGGGTGAACAATCCTAAGAATGCATTATGTTCAATTCATAGAACCGAATCTAACTTAGACATGCATCAACCATTCAAACACATTGATAATTCTATAACATGGCTAGATTTCCTAGCCTACAACAAATAGACTACTCACACATCATGGGAGAAAGCAAATTAGACATGGATTCATACAACATTTCAATAGAAATAGGAATAGAAAAATTATAGTATGAAGAATCAATTCTTGAACAATGAAACGTAGCAATCTCCACTCCAAATCGTTTTCAAAATGTCGAGTAACCGAAGTACAAGTTAAAGTCTCAAAAAATGTGAAAAAATGTATACCCTTCTCTCTGATCTGCAAGATCTGTTGATTGGGTTTCGTTTCATATTGTTCCGTTGCGTGAAACCCAAGATTGGAACCCTAGAAACCGTTATGAGCGCATGTTTAGGGATCTCCGAAACCCCAACAATTATGCATGGTTGTTAATGTTTTATGTTGTTTGTGAATCATCGGTTAACACCGTTCTCACTGAGAACGAGATTACTGGGTTCAACCCGGACTACTCACTAAGCGGTTATGCTTAACCATCGTGGTTTTATCTTTTTCAAATCATGAGGGATACGTGAAGCGCATCCGGATGACAACGACCTAAGAGAGACAACATCATGTACGAGTTTTGTATTTTGGACTACGAGACTTGTATTTCCGCCTTTTGTACGATTGTACTATTTACTATCCAAACATGTGTTGTTTTGCGATATTGATCACGCGATGTATTTCCGCTGCTTACTCTATTTAAAAAAAATTTTTGGATTTCGTATTTTCACGGTTCTATTATTTTATTTTATCGTATTGTCCATGTGGCACAACCTATATACTGTATATGGGTTACGGGCATCACACTGAAAGTGGTGAAAAAAAAGTTGATGGTGGTGGAAAACTAGAATCTAAATCGCCATCAAAACTGAATTCCAGTCCTCGACAACGGCGCCAAAAACTTGAGCGTGCCAATCTAGGTGAGTTGATGGTCAAGTAATAAAAACCTAGACTAAACCGGTTCCACAAGGGTACAGATTCGATGTAGTACCAGGATCGAACAAAGGGATCGAGAGGTGATGGTGTCAATGGTGATTCTAGCGAAAGTTGGGAGCAAAATAGTTGATTGGTTAGGAAAACTATAACTAAAGGCACTGTAGGTTCGGGGGTTCACCGATACTACAAACA